AGTGTAGATGTTTTTCACCTCCTTGGTTAAACTGATGCATAGGTATTTTATTTTTGTGTGTGTGACAATTGTAAATGGGTTTACTTTATTTCTCTTTCTATTAGTTCATTATTTGAGCATATAAATGCAATTGATTTGGGGGAATTTATTTTCTATTCCACAACATTACTGAAGTTATTAACCACCTCTAGGAGTTTTTTGATAGAGCCTTTAGGTTTTTCTATATATAGTATCATCTCATCTGTAAATAGGGAAAGTTTGACTTTGTCTTTTCCAATCTGGATTCTCTTTGTTTCTTTCTCTTGCCTGATTGCTCTTGCTAGTACCTCCAATACTATGTTAAATAGAAGTGGTGAGAGTGGGCATCCCTGTCTTGTTCCTGCTCTTAAGAGAAAGACCCTCCGTTTTTCCCCATTCAGAATGATACTAGCAGTATCATGGGGCTTGTCACAGATGGCTTTTATTCTGTTGAGATATTATCCTTCTATACCTAATTTGTTGAGAGGCTTTATATTGAAGGGATGTTGAATTTTGTAAAATGATTTTTCAGCATCTGTTGAGATAATAATATGGTCTTTGTCCTTTAGTTTGTTGATGTGATATATCACATTTATTGACTTTCATATGTTGAAACATCCTTTCTTCCCTGGGATTAATCCCATGTGATCATACTGTATAATTTTATTTAACATATTGCTGTATTCTGATTGCTGATATTTTGCTGAGGGTTTTTGCGTCTAGGTACTTCAAGGACACTGTCCTCTAATTTTGTTTTTTTGTTGTGTCTTTATCTGGTTTTGGTATCAGAGTTATACTGGCCTCATAGAATGAGTTCAGGGAGAGTAGCTTCTATTTCAATTGTCTGGAATAGTTTGAGGATAATTGGTATTAACTCCTCTTTAAAAGTGTGATAGAATTCAGCTGTAAAACCATCAGGACCTGGACTTTTCTCCATTGGAAGATTGCTAATTACTGCTACCACCTCTTTGCTTGTTATTGGTTTGCTCAGGTTTTCTGTCTCTTCTTGGTTTAGTCTTGGTAGTTTGTATGTGTCTAGAAACTTGTCCATATCCTCGAGATTTTCATATTTGTTGTCATACAATTGTTTGTAATAGGGTCTAATGATCTTTGTATTTCTGTGGTACTGGTTGTAATGTCTCCATTTTCAATTCTGATTTTTGTAATTTGGGTCTTCTCTCTTCATCTTCTTCCTTTTTTTTTTTTTTTTTTTTGTTAACCTAGCTAATGGTTTGTCTATATTACCTATCTTCTTGAAAAAACAACTTTTTGTTTTGTTAATCTTTTCTATTATTTTTTGAGTCTCTATTTCATTACTTCTGCTCTGATCTTAATTATTTCTTTCCATTTACTACTTTTAGGTTTGGATTGTTGTTTCTCAAGTTCTTTGAGATGTACTGTTAGGTCGTTTATTTGAAGTCTTTCCGTTCTTTTGATGTACACATATGTTGCAATAAATCTGTCTCTCAGTACTACTTTTGCAGTATCCCACAGGTTTTGGTATGATGTATCTTTATTTTCATTAGTTTCTAGAAATTTTTTGATTTCCTGTTTAATTTCTTCTTGGACCCATAGGTCATTCATGAGCCTATTTAGTTTCCAGAGTCTTGCTTATTATTTATTTCCAATTTTAATCCATTGTAGTCTGAAAACATACTTGGAATGATTTCAATTTTTAAAAATTTGCTGAGACTAGATTTGTGACCTAACATATGGTCTATCCTGGAGAATGTTCCATGAGCTGATGAGAGGAAAGTATATTCTTTAGTTGTTGGGTGAAATGTTCTGTATATATCTGCTAGGCCCAGTTGGTCTAAAATATAGATTAAATCCTGTGTTTCTTTGTTGACTTGTTGCCTGGAAGATCTGTCCCATACTGAGAGAGGGGTATTCAGATCACCCACTCTTAATTTATTAGGTCCTATTTCTTTCTTTATGTCTAAGAGTGTTTGTCTTATATGTCTGAGTGATCGAGTGTTGGGTGCATACATGTTTATGGTTATGTCTTCTAGCTGGATAGATCCCTTTATCATTATATAGTGGTCTGCTTTCTCTCTTTTTATGATTTTTGGTTTAAAGTCTATTTTGTCCAATATAAGGATAGTGACTCCTGCTTGTGTGTCATTTCCATTTACAGCATATATCTTTTTCCTTCCCTTCACTTTTAGTCTATGTGTGTCTCTACAGGTGAGGTGGGTCTCTTGGAGACAGCGTATACTTTGGTTTAGCTTTTTAATCCAATCAGTTAGTCTGTGTCATTTGAATGGGGAATTTTGTGCATTCATATTTAGGGTAGTTATTGACAAGTATTACTTAATTCCTGTTATTTAATTGCTTCTTGTTTAGATGGTATAAATATCTTTTGATCATTATTTCCCCTTTTATTTCTCTTCTTCAATGTTAGTTGGAAATTTAAGAGGGGATGATTAAGCTTTTTTCTCTTTCTTGCTGGCATTTTTGTTTTAACAGTAGGTTTTGCTCTTTCTTTTATATTTGTGATATTGTCACCTTTATTCAGATTCCAGATGAATGACTCCCTTGAGAATTTTTGCAGGACTGGTTGTGTGGTGGTGAACTCCCACTATTTTCGTTTGTCTGGGAAATACACTATTTTTCCCTCATTTCTGAAAGAGAGCCTTGCAGAATAAAGAATTCTTGGCTGATAGTTTTTTTTTTTTTTTCCCTTTTAGTATTTTGAATATAGCATTCTACTATCTTCTGGCCTGTAGGATTTCAGTTGAGAAGTCTGCTGTTAGTCCTATGAGGGCTCCCCTATAAGTGACCTGATGATTTTCTCTTGCTGCTTTTAGAATTCTCTTTTTGTCTTTGAGCTTTAACATGTCTTGTTCATTTATAACATGTCTTGGGAAGGATCTTTTTGGATTGAATTTGTTTGAGTTTCCTGGATCTGAAGGTCTGTGTCTTGCCCTACATCTGGAAAGTTTTCTGTTACTATTTCCTTTAATAGGTTTTCAGTACCTTTTCCTTTCTCCTCCCCTTCTAGAATTCCCACAGTTCTGATGTTAGATCACTTGAGTTGTCTCCTAGATTTTTGTCCTTTCTTGTGTATTTGCAGTAGGGATTATTGTTTTTTTCAGATTCCAGATGAAGGACTGCCTTGAGAATTTCTTGTAGGGCTGTTTGTGTGGTGGGGAACTCCTACAGTTTAGGTCTGTTTAGGAAATACACTGTTTCTCCCTCATTTCTGAAGGATAGCCTTACTGGGTAAAGTATTCTTTGCTGGCAGTTTTTTTTTTTCTTTTAGTATTTTGAATATATCATCCCATTTCCTTCTTGCCTGTAGAGTTTCACTTGAGAAGTCTATTGTTAATCTGATGGAGATTCCCTTATAAGTGACTTGATGCTTTTCTCTTGCTGTTTTTAGTATTCTGTCTCTGTCTTTGAGGTTTGCCAGTCTTACTATAATTTATCTTGGAGAGGGTCTTTTTGGATTGAATCTGTTTGGGAATGACTGACCTTTCTAGATCTTGAGGTCTGCATCTCTACCTATATCTGGGAACTTTTCCATTATTTCATTGAATAGATTTTCAATGACTTTACCTTTCCCCTCGTCTTCTGGAATACCCATGATTCAGATATTTGTGTGCTTAAGGTTGTACACTAGCTCTCTTAGACTTTCTTCATTTTTTAAAATTGTTTTTTTCCTTTTTTT